TCAAAACGCTCTCCACCGTCTGGGATCCCTTCAGCTTTGTTGACTGGAACATACTTCTTTTGGACTGGTTCCACTCCCTGTTAGCAGCTCTGCTCAGCAGGGATCCTATGACTCTGGCATCTCTACTATCTTGGGTTCTCCAAGGTAATCCAGGCTTGAACTTCACAAGTTCCTGCAACGGCCTCTCTACTTGGCCAAATTTCATGGACAGCCCCTGACACAGTGGATTTCCATAGCCACGGAGGGAGATTCCATAGCTCCTTTTTTTTGTCCTTAACTCTAAAGCCAGAACCACATGGTCAGAGCTGCCAAGTTCTGCTCCTTGCTGGGGCTGGACCATGGCCCCTCATTCATTCAATTACATCTTCAGCAGTTTCCTGCCTTTCACTGCCTAAGCTTAACTGTCCTGAAACTTGCTCTGTAGACCAGGCTGACCTCAAACTCAGAGATCCACCTGCTTCTACCTTCCCAGTGCAGGAATTAAAGGTGTGCCCCAGCTCTAAGATTTTCTTCAGTTCCTTTTCATAGGTTAGAAACCCATGGGTAGGACCTTGCCCTGAGGTCACCACTCCCTTTATTCCATTTCTTAATCCATTTATCTCCTCGAACGAAGGATTTAGCTCCATTTCACTTTCTGGTGTCCTTTTTCTCCTCAACTATTTTTTCCTTGCTCAGCTTGCTTCTTTTCATTATAAATCTTCATTAGAGTCACCACTAATATCCACACGACAGAGTCTATACTAGCCTGTTTTGAGATTTCTTCTGCCAACAGAATCAACCCAAAATTCTTCATTTTAGCTTTAGGCAGACTCCAGACATGGGCAAAAATCAGCCACTTCCTTCAATAAAAATATCACAAGCATGAGTTCTAGGCAACCATACTAAGACACTTCTCTGAAACCTCTTGAGCCAGCTCCCGACATTTCAAATCATTTTCAGTACCATTGTCTTCCATGCTCCTACTAGTATGCCCCATTAAGCAGTGGTGAAAGTATTCTACCACTTTCCTAACCCAAAGTACCAAAGTCCACATTACTCCAAACAAAAGCGTGGTCAGGCCTATCACAGCAGAACTCCAGCCACGGGTACCAACTTCTGTGTTGGTTTGAATTTTTATTGCTGAGAAGAGACACCATGATCACAGCAAATCTTATAAAGAAAACATTTAATTGAGGGTGGCTTGCTTACAGTTTCAGAGATTCAGTCCATTATGATCATGAAGGGGAGCATGGCAGTGTGCAGGCAGACATGGTGCTGTCTAAGAAAAAGACCGTAAAGCCCACTCCCACAGTGACACACTTCTTCAAACCAGGCCATGCCTCCTAACAGTGCCACTCCCTTTGGGGGCCATTTCTTTCAAACCACAACCTTGATTTGTAAATTTTATGTGTCTATATGTTTTGCTTGCATTTTGCACACTGAGAACAATCTGGAAGGAGAAAATCTGCTTGTGTGACTGGTGCTCCCAGAGGCCTGAAGAGAACATTTGTTCTTCTGGGCCTGGGATTAGAGAGGGGTTGTGAGCTGCTCTGTGGGTAGGGAAACTTCTGAAAGAGCACCAAGTGTTCCCAAATGCAAAGCCATCTCTCTAGCCTGGTGCTTGTGTTTAATCCCAACATTCAGGGGACAGAGGCAGGTAGATCTCCAGGAGTTCAGTGCGAGCCTGGTTTACATAGCAAGCTCCAGACCATCCATGGCTGCATAATGGGACCTTGTCTCAATAAAACAAAAACAAACAACAACAAAAACAACAACAAAGGAAGGGCTTCGGTGTCAGAGCTGGGTCAGAGGTTAAGGGTTACTGTTTAACCTTGAAAGATTCATTCTCTGTGCCTGTGAAGAAAACAGCATCTTAGTCTAGATATTTTAGGTGTTTGGTGGGATCACCTGGGAAAGGGAGTGCTGCTTGGAGTTAGTGGCAGCTCTTACCTTTCTTTCAGGAATGGCCGTGTATTGCTTCCTCATAAGATCCACCTTTCCTGCCCCTCAACACACTAAGGAGGGACTGTCAAACCCCGCTGCTCTGGCACCTTCAAATCTGATTGTGTATATCCTAGTGACAGTTGGTTCCCACCTCTCTGGCTATGACTTCCTGGGTGACAGATTGCTTGGAGGAAGAGAGGACCACAGGGAGTCTGGTGCACAGAATTTATGAGCCTGACTGTGAGTCTGAGATGTCCCCACTACGGAGTTGTATCAAGCACATGAGGTCTGGAGAGGTGACCTCAGAGTGGTTTTAAGTGAGCATTCTAGCCTCTGGGATTGAGGCAAAGGGGATAAAAGTTGCACCAAGCTGTTGTGTCTCATCTCCTGTCCTTGGAGCCTTATCTTTCACTGAGATAACCAGAGCTTGGGATAGATGACTCACAAGGAGGTTTAACTCCTTCCTGGATGGTTCAGGGCCAGCTCCTGAGAAACTGGGGAAAACAAGTAGATATAGGAAGAATTGTTTGTTGACTCATAGATATTTACGAGAAGCTGGAAGTTGCAGAGAGCATATAGGTATCTGCTTTCATGCAATTGAAATCCTTCCAGGAGGAAGGAAAAGAACTAAAGTGTTTAAATAAATAAACAAGAGAACTCAGCTTGCAGCAAGGGCTGTAAAGATAAAGAAGCAGGCAGTGGCCCTCAACTTTGAGCATGCATCAAAGTCACCTGGAGGGCTTGAGAAAACACAGGTGGCCAGCCACCACCACCAGAGATTCCGATTCAGTGTGTCTAGGGTGGGGCCAGCATTTGCATTACCAGCAAGTCCTCAGGTTATGTAGTTGCTACTGATCCCTGGACCAACTTTGAGAGCTAGGATGATGGTGTATGTGTATGTGATGATATGTGTGGGTGGTGATGTGTATTTGGGGGTGCTGATGGTGCAGTATGTGGGGATGATGATGTTGAGGGGTGATGGTATGTATAGTGGTGGTATGTGTGGGGGTGATGGTGAGTGTGTTGTGGAATAATGATGTGAAGGAGTGATGGTGTGGGGAGCTGATGGTGTTGGGAATGTGTTGAAGAGTGATGGCATGTGTGGGGTGATGGTGTTGGAGGCTGATGGTGTCAGGTAATTATGATGCTGGGGGTAATGATATCAGAGGCTGCTGGTGTGTGGGGTGGTGTGCACAGGTGTGTGTGTGTGTATGTGTGTGTGTGTGTGTGTGTGTGTGTGTGATGTCAAAGCAATAGAAGCTGCATAATTTGTAGTTCTTCTGAGGTCAAGGACAAAGAAAAGAGACCCTCTTCCCTCTCTCCTCTCCCTCTGCTTTTGTCAATATTCAGAACAGCTTTTGAAATCTCCTTGAGGGTTGTCCTAGGATGGCAGGCTTCATGCTCCTTTGCAATTCAGAATCTTTTCATGTCTATTTATTCTCCTAAAGGAGCAGCTGCAAGACCACCCCTGAATCTGGCGATGCAGAAGCCTCGATGGGAGCATAGAGACAGATGTCCTGCTCCAGTTGTATGCAGCCCAGACTCACCTCAAATGTCACCCCCCTATATCTGTGCTTACATTAAAAAAACCTGTATACACAAAAATTGCTGCGAAAAACAGACTATAATTAATACCAAGGCGGATGGCCAAATTCTTAATCTGTCTACAGAGTCTGTAGCAGGCCTGCCATAACCAAAGTGTTAACTGATTTCAGATATTCTTTTGATAGTTATTTACAGCTGAGCACTCTGCTAGGTCTACTAAAGATAGGCCCAGGCCTACATGATTTCATGGTCTGACTGGGGATGCAGAAAAGTCATTAGATAATCACATGTAAGGAGTCCTCTTAGTTTCTATGACAGGGGAAGAACAGGGTGACATGGAAACACAAGAAAACACAGGGCTTCCCGAGGAGGTAACAAATAAAATGAAGGATGAGTGGATTACATTTGGAATGGCATAGAAGAGGGAAACATGCACAATTGTTTTGGAGAGAGATGCAGGGTAGCAGGCACACACTTTTAATCCCAGCACTCCGGAGACAGAGGCAGGTGGATCTCTGAGTTCGATGCCAGCCTGGACTATAGAGTGAGTTCCAGGACAGCTATGCTGAGCAACCCTATCTCAAAAAATGAGAGAGAGAGAGAGAGAGAGAGAGAGAGAGAGAGAGAGAGAGAGAGAGAGAGAGAGAGAGAGAGAGAGAGAGAGAGAGAGACCAAAAGCCAGGGGTGAGGGAGAACATGACACCTTCCCTGACAAGTACTCATCCTGTACAAACCCAGCCAAGAGGTGGAGCTAGATCTTGAGTGACCTTTTGGGGATGAAGGAGCGATGAATTTTAGGAGTCACTGAAAACAACGTACGAGGGATTTCATTGGTGGGTTGCTGTTTAACTGAGTGTGAGGTTCCGGCTTATGCTCAGTGTGGGGATTAATCTGACAGCCGTGTTAGGACAGTGTAAGAAGCCGAGGACTGGCTTTTGCTGAGAGTTGGCTCTGCAGGCAGCCCTGGGCCCCTGCTTTACACTCCCTCCCACCTGTTGAACTAGGAGTCTGGGCAAACCAGTTCTGGATTCTCTGCATCAAAGAGCCTTCTTAGAAGCAAAGCCACAGCTCGATTCCCCTGTACTTTAGAGAAAGAATACACCCAGAAGGGAATACATCCTGAACAGTTGGAGAAATGCTCTTGGGGTTGTGCTGTCTCTGCTGCTGACCTCAGAGACTTGCAGGGCAAACTTCCTTGTAGCCCATCTGCAAACCTGTCTTATTTTCAGGACTTCATGACCTTCAGCAAGCTGTTTTGATGTCCTATTCTTTATTGTTCAACTACAAGGACAGTGGCTGCCTCTAGGAGCATCCTGGGAATGTCAAGCATAGACTTGGGATTGTATCTAAGAAAACACTGGGCTCCTGGCGGGTGGGGGGCAGAAAACACAAAACTGCTCACCATCCAGTCCCCACTGTGGCCAGCTCTGGGTATTATTTAGGGGTTGACCATTCAGTCTAATATCTGTATGTATTTATTTCCATAAGCATGCTTCCCAGTCGCTTTTAGTTATACACTTCTTTTTATGTCTACATTTATACAGAGATGAGTATGTTAGAAAGTAGATGGGCTCAAACCAGCATTTCCTTTTTCTAGCTCAATGTTAGGAAAACCTCTATATTTGCAGACAAAGTGTGTGTTTTGTGTCAGAACTGTTTTATTCCCTGAAACTTGTTGGGCCCTCACCAGTGTTCTGAACTGCAGGGATTGAGGTTCCCCTGGGCACCCCGCTTTCTTCATCAGGCAGTATTCCCTCTTCAGAGCTCAGGTCTTGTTTAGACTTGAAGACAAATGGCTCCCTACATACTAATGGGTTTGTTTTCCTTGTACTAGAGCTGACCTGGAATTCCCCCCCCCCATCGCTTCCCTGTTTAGACCCTAAGAAATACTGAAGGGTGGGTGTGAGAGGAGAGGAGGAAAGCTGTGCTCAGGGATGCTGCCAGATGAAAATTACAGTTTCTGGGTGACAGAAGAACTAACCTTAAAAAAAAAAAATACAAGGCCTAGAAGCAGACTTGCAAAGAAAATCTACATGATTTTAATGAGTCTCCTGGCAACACATATTCTAACCTACTGCCCTGTGGAAAACAAGTTTGAGTGCAGTCCCGACCTTCCCGCACCTCACCACCCCCACAGTGATACAACACAGTGTGAATCTAACTCATGGGCTCACAGATCTACATCAAAGAGCATCGCTAAGCTTAACTTTGGTAGATAACATGAAATTGTCCCTGCAAAGCCTGGGGAGTTAGCTTCCACTTCCCACATCCTCAGAGTCAGTTGCTGTTAATCATCTCTTAAAATTTACCAGTTTGATGGAGAAGAGATGGCATCTTACTTTAATCTGCAATTTGGAGACTGGATGTCCTGGAACTCTCTAGAGCAGGCTGGCCTTGAACTCCCAGAGCTCTGCTTGCCTCTGCTGGGAATAAAGGTGTTACTTATCCTGATTTGCTAGTGAAGTTGAACATCTTTCATATATTTAGCAGCTGTGTGTGTTTCTCATATATACTCATAAATATTTTCTCATATATTTACCCTTGATATTTTACCTTATGTTGCTTTCACTTGTTGTTTAGGAGGTGCTAGAGTCACTGTACATTGGAAAGATGTAGCATTTTGAAGCAGAAAAAGGGCCACAGAATCAATTTTGTCCCTATACTTTGTTTTACAGAAACAAACTAAGGTTTAGAGATGCGAAGGCTGCCTTGTAGCTGGCTGGTTACAGTTCTGAAAATTGATTCTAGTATGAAGATTTTTTCCCCTCCTTTTTGCCTCCATCAGTGTTTACTGGGTATGTTGTTTTCTTTCCTGAGTACTGTATCTTCTGGCAAACATCACTGACGGAACAGCAAGCGGATGCTGGCTATGGAGAGAGAGAAGAAGTCTATAGAGGGATGCTGTCTGTCTACAGGGGGAGAGAAGTCTATGGGGGGATGTTGAACACAAGAGAAGAGAAGCTTGGATGCTGATACAAGTCATAGAACTCCATAGTTTCTCAGAAATGGTAAGAGGGTGAAGACAAGATGGTTCCCTGTGATAAGAGGCATTTCATACTGATGACATTAAGGGATTATAATGAGGGAGTGACGGCTAAAGGACCCCGCTGCTACATGGAGCTTCTATGTGTATTGCTTTCCAGTTCTTTCCAAACTTGCAGCAAAGTATCAGTAGACGCCATCAGATTCACAAACCTCCTTCCTGCACTACTTAATGAAAACTATTCCACATGATCTGGAGCTGTGCTGTCAGAGTATTTGGCTTGCAAAGTAGATGGAGTGTGAATCTTATGAATGGATTAGTCTTCAAGTTCTGGGGGAGACCAATGTAGGGAAACTTCCAGATGCATAAGCCCAGCCCTGTGATCCAATGCTTCTTTAGTGCTGGGAAATGAAGATGGGTTTGTTAAGGCAGAATGGTGTTTTGTCATGTGCAAGAGGCTGGAATTAGAGGTGGGTGAGCTGTCTTGTTCTCATGCAATCTTACAAGGAAGGGGGCCAAGATGGGCAAGAACAGGAATGTTCCCAGGCCTGTTTGCAGTACTTACCAGTGTAGCCTGGGGCTTAGCTTCCAGGATGGAGAGGACAGGAATTTGGGAATGTGGAAATATGTGCCCGTCATACTGTGACCAGAGGGTTCCTTGACTTCTCAGAAGTTTCATGTCTATAGTCTCCTTCCTCTAAGCTCTGCGGCTCCCAGAACTACCACAGCCATATGTCTTACTGGAAGTGGCCAGCCATCCTTGGGAGAACAGGTCAATTTTGGGAAAACAAAGACAGCGGGTAACCTGATGTGTGCAGCCAAATTGCTAGGTCCCCTTCCTTTGCCCTCCCTCCCTCCCTCCCTCCCTCCCTCCCTCCCTCCCTCTCTCCCTTCCTCCCTTTCTCCCTCCCTCCCTCTCTCCCTCCCTCCCCGTCCCTCTCTCTCTCTCTCTCTCTCTCTCTCTCTCTCTCTCTCTCTCTCTCTCTCTCTCTCTCTCTCTCTCTCTCCTGCCTTCCTTCCTTTTAACTGTGCTGAAGACTGGTGCCTTCTACTAGGGAAGTGCTTTACATGCAGCATTACCTCCAGCTATTGCATTATTTCTGTGTAAAAAGTCAATAAACGTCAGAGCTGAAAATCCAACAAATGAGATGAGATGCAATAAACACGGCACTTAACCCTTGAAATAAAAGATAAACATTGATTGGGTTCATGCATGAAGGGATCTTTCCCTACATAAATCTAAGCGCATATATAACTAAACTGCCACTTTTTAGCTTTTCTTTAATTTTTTTTTCTTTTTGCTATGGGTGTTTTGCCTTCATGTGTCTCTATGCTCTACATGCCTGAGACAGCTAGGAAAGGACATTGGAGTTCTCGAGAACTGGAGTTTTGAAGTGTGTGTGCTTGAACTTGAACCCAGGTCCCCTGCAGCCATGCTCTTAAGCCCCAAGACAGCTCTCCAGAATCTTCCCTTTAGCTTTTTTTATATTGTGTGTTTTTACCTTTTGCTTTTATTAGGCTTTTGAGATAAGGTTTTATGTAGCCCTGGATGGCCTAGAATTCATCATGTACCTAAGGATTCCCTTGAATTGATCTTTTAGCCTCTACTTCTCAAGTCTGTTTTCATTCACTGTGAGAGCCAAAGTTACCTTTTAAGTTTTAATTGCTATGTCTTAGAGATCCATGAAATGAAAATGCCTCTGATCTGCAAGCCCCTTGTCCAAGGACAGATAGTTCCTGAATTGTTGGAGGCTATTGTTTTTGGCAGATAACAAGCCACATGCTTTCTCTCCCTTAAACAAGTGTGTTTGACCCATCTGCACCCGATGTGCTTGGTCACATGTGGGTAGGAAGGTTACAGGCAGGAAATATGTCAGGATGTATGCTTGCCCCTGACTGGAGGAACATCAGGATGTATTCTTGCCCCTGATTGGAGGTAGGTACATCAGGATGTATGCTTGCTCTTGATTGGACCTGATGGAAAGTACTTAAGCCACTGCAAAACTTGACTTGGGGCCATTTTTCTGAGAACCAGAGATGGACTTGGTTAGAGCCCATTCACCTGGCCAGTGTTTCATTAAAGCTTGCTTCAAATTTGGCTTTGAATTGTAGTAGTGGTATTATTCTTGACCGGTGGGATTAACACTATACCCTAATACCTCCCTCAACCCATAATTATTTCAGAAGCTGGCTTCAGATGTCATGTCATCTCATCCATAAGGGTTTCAGAATGTCTCTCTCTCTAGATTTGTAGGAACAATTCAAGTTTATTTTCAGGCTTGAAATGTTTCAGACTGTTTGCCCCAATTCCTTATTATCATCAATTACCTCGCTACAGTTAACATGTTCCCAGTTATAATGTGATGACCAACAGGTGGTTTGTTTGCTTGACTTGGGATCTAAAGATGGTTTGTTTTTAGCAGGATTCATCAATATTCCATATATTTGTCTTTTTTAATCTACAGAAACACTGTCATTTTTTCCCCTTTAAAGACCATGAGGCCATTCTTCCCATGGAATTTCTTCTAATTTTACATTTGCTGGTCATATGCCCAGGTTATGTGTGTCTTGTCACTCTGTCACCTGCATTTCTGTGCCTCCAAGTTGGGTGAGATTTGATCAGAACTGGGCCTGGTGGCTTAGCATACAACCCTGCCTTGGAGTGGTTTGTCACCTCTTTGACCTCTCCCCCTTCCCCACTCCCTCTGGTTCACTTTCATCCCCTCTGGCTTTGACCTTTTCTGACTGCTCCCTCTGTAGGCCCGTGGTGCTCTTTCTTCCTTTGTTTCTGATCTCCTCCCTGTCTTTGCTTAACTTTTGTGATGCCTGCCACGGTCGCCTACGGAATACCTAACATCTGGTTCGAATACATGCTTTGATTTATGGCAGGTAGCCAATAACTATTATCTGGATGAGTCAAGGAAGGGGTGAACTGTCCTAACTCTTCCTCTACCTGTCTTGACAGAGACAGTGTAGCACATACTTGCTGACCACCTGTACTGTGCCAGGCATGCCACATGTCCAGCATAACAACCCAGATGGGTCCTGTACTTATTGGCCTCTAGCAGGAAGTGTGGTAGACATGGAGATATAGTGCTCACAGCTCCAGTAGCTGACCTCTTGTTTGAGGTCATGTGCATTCTATCTGTCTATAGTGATGACTGGTCAGGTAGGGGTGGATGTAAAACTGGGCCCTCCTGGCTGATGCTGGTCAATTCTGGCAAACACATTTGTACCAGCATTGCCCATGTAATTAGCTAAAGTTTGGTTCATCCTATGATACAGTTCATCTTCTCCTCCATTCTACCTTGACTCCTCACCCCCTTTCTGCTGTTTGCCCTTCTCTATAAGCAATATCAGTAGGCAGAATATTCTGTCCTGCCAGCCAGCTCCCAAATAACCACAGAGACATATTATTAATTATAAATTCTCAGCCAATAGCTTAGGCTTGATATTAACTAGTTCTTATAACTTAAATTAACCAATTTTTTGATTAATTTATGTACTGCCATGTAACTTATAGCTTGTTGTAAAGAGAAGCTTTTTCTTTGAGAGGGGCCTTCCCGCCAGCCTGGTTCTAGAGCCGCATCAGTCCCAAATAAACACACAGGAGGCTATATTAGTTATGAAGCTGTTGGCCTTGCTTGTCTCTTACGGGCTAGCTCTGACTTAAGTAATTACCCCATAATTGTTAATCTAAGTATTTCTCTTACTGGAGAATAGTTCCGGGCTTCCTACCCCATGGCGGTTACATGTCGACTTCCTGTGTTTCTCCTTCCCAGAATCCTCCTGGACTCCTAGTCCCGCCTATCTAGATTCCTATTGGCTCAACAGTACTTTATTGACAAATGTACAGGACTTCTCCCATCAGCTTGTTACCTCATCTTGTACACCTCCTGCTGTGTGTACTGTGTGTGTGGCTGGCTACTCTGCCCTCCTTCATCTCAGAGAGCTCTCTTCCTGTCCTCAAGTCCTGCCTAACCTCTTTCTGCCTAGATATTGGCCATTTAGCTCATTATTAAGCCAATGAGAGCAACACATCTTCACAGTGTAGAAAATGATTATTTCACAACACAAATCTCTTCTAGCATCTTCATCCTGGAAGCTCCAATTTGAAAGGATGAGGTAGCCATTCCTGTGTACTACGCAGGGAGAAATAGAACAGAAATTTCACTGAGCTGTAGGATCCTGGAGCAAAGTGTTATTCTTTTTTTTTTTTTTTTTTTGGTTTTTTCGAGACAGGGTTTCTCTGTATCGTTTTGGAGGCTGTCCTGGAACTCACTCTGTAGACCAAGCTGGCCTCGAACTCACAGAGATCCGCCTGCCTCTGCCTCCCAAGTGCTGGGATTAAAGGTGTGTGCCACCAACACCTGGCTAAAGTGTTATTCTTATAAGTATCATATCTCCTAGATCCTTTAAATAGGGTGGAGCCATCGGCTCTGTGGCCTGACTCCATTTGGTTCTAGGCTATGTATCAGTTAGTTTTGTGTTGCTATGACAAAAATCCTTGGAAGGCCAACTTAAAGAATGAAATATTTGTTTTGGCAAAGAAAGCATCATGGTGGTAGGAAGTATGTGGTAGAGAGGCTTCTTCATGGTGACCAGGAAGTAGAGTAAAGGCATCAGGGGGAGACAGCCCCAACAACACACCTTCCTTGACCTGCTTCCTTTAGTAGGCCCTACCTCCTATCTTTCACCATTTCCCAATATTAACATTATGAATCTAGCAAAAGATTACTAATCCATTGATTATGCCAGAGCTTGGTGATCTAATGGTTTCTGGAAATCCATGGCAGACACACCCAGGGTATGCTTCCCCCCCAACCCATGGTTCTCAATATACTCAAGATGGCAAAATTAAGTGTCACGAGCTGTATTTGTGAACCAGACCATCAAGGTTTAGCATGGTTCTGTAGAAAACTGAGTTCTTCATCCCCACTGTTAAGTCAAGCTATATATTTCCTGCCACCTGACTCAGAAAAGGCACGGCGAGGGCAGAGGGGTGAAGCCTTGGAAGGAGGAGGTGGGTATTGGAAGGACACTGGCTGAGATGAGTGATGATGGATGAATGGAAGGTGGGGAGAAGCTACTCTGCTGCTGGGCTGGAGTACTTTGGGAAAATTAACACGTGCTGAGCAGCCAGGAGTCTCTAAACTCCAGGAAAAGAACGGGAGCAGGGAGACTAGACAGGCCAGGGAAACAGGGACCTGGTGATGTGAGCTTGGCCTGAGCTGGTGATGTCAGAAACATGGACACAATAAAGAGATACCATCAAAGAAAACCCAGCATGACCTTAGAGGAAAGGAGGGAGGAGGGAACGGAAGATGGATTCTTCGTCATTACATTAGAAAAGACATTTAATTTTACTAGTGGTCTAATGGCTGATGTAAATGAGTACAGCCATGACACACTATTCCATTTCCACCCTTCAGACTGATGTGAGAACACCCATAGTCTTTTGCATATTGTCTAGTGGGATCATTTTATACTTCTGTCAGGAGCTTTCAAAAACAGTGGTTGTTGATTTCCTAATCTCAGTAAAGTGAATCGTGTGGGGCTGGAGGAGGATGGCAAAAGGACCCATGGTAAATAGTAGTTCCTGGAGTTCTAGTTTGTACATTTGTTCCTTGGAGCTTTGGGGCGATAACCTTGACCTCATACTCTGGCCTTGCATGCATTCCATGGTGTGTGTTGCAGACTTTTTCTTTGAAAATCACAGGCATTACCTTGTAGTCTGGTTCTCCTCCCCTCCCCTCCCCTCCCCCTGGTTAGGGGCTGACTCATGGCTATTCCCAGCTTGACAAAGGCACTGAAAACATCTGATGAGTGAACAACTAGAGGATGAACAGTCAGCAGTACATTTTCAAGTCTAGTTTCTAGGACTTGAGCCCACCTGCAGGCTATAGGGGTGAGTGGGGGGGGTGGAGAGGGGGGTGCACAGGACTGTGATTTTCCACTTGTCCTCTATCTTCACCAAGGTGATGACTTCCTTATTCTTTTGTTCTCCTAGAGGATCCAGCCCTGCTGCCCTCCTCTGCCTTCCTTCAGACTTCTGTAATCTTCTCTGCTCCAGTCTGCCTTCTGCTTCCATTCCACGATGAACTTCCTTGCAGATCATGGACCACAGAAGGAAAAGGACCTCTTCAGGGCAGGTGTTTCCCAGCTGGGACAGAGACAGATCTTTCTTGTTTCTTTAGCAGTCCTTTGGCTGACCAAGGCTCCCTTTGATCTATTGTTTTGTGGCTTTGTTCCTTGAGGAGTCCTCCAGTGTTTACCCAGCAGCAGAGAGATCATCAGCAGAAACTGCCGTTTTGCCAGAGTTTCCCCTGGCAGGCTCTGAACCCTGGTTCTGAGACTGTGGGCATTCTGCATCAGAGAGAGTACCTTCATGCTGAAGCAGGGACCACCCAAGGAACACAGGGTGGGTTGATGTTTGGAAAGCGGAGACCTAATCAAATGGAGGCTTTGTGTGCAGGTGGAATGCTGTGTCCAAGCTGGTATCAGTGAGCATCTAGGGCGGAGCTGGAATGCAGTGATGGCTGATCCTTTGAGGACAGTCAGATATGATTTATCTGTTGTCTATCTAATGACGTTCCTGGATCCACATTGCCAGTAAGAGATGGTGCCTGGAGCTCCTATTCCGAGAGTCTATCTACCCCAGCAACCAGCAGTTTTCCCTGGAGGAAGAAGACTTTGCTATCCTTGGAAATAAGGGGATGTGAGGGTAGGAGCTTAGGGAGGCAGGGCAGTGGTTAGACCCTTCTGATCCCTAAGTCATACCCCTGACCCAATGGAAGCCCAGGAAGTAACTAGACAATTTCACTCCCCCTCCTCTTGTTCCACTGTGTTATCCATGGGGTGGAAGAAGTTGTTGGCTTTCTGGGTCATGGTGTCAACTGAAGGGTACTAGAATATTCTGGGGAATAGACCAACTTTTGCAAAGGTGAAGAAAAAGAGAGGAGCACTGAGAAACACAGTTTTGTGATGGGGCCAGGTTGACTGTCATGGGGTATAGAAGGGTTTGGCACCGCAGGCAGGTGAACTGGCCTCATGGACATGAGGGGCAAGACAGGAACCTTGGGGTTTCAGGGCTGCAGGGTAGGGGTGGTCAAGACATGTATGGAGCCTTGTGGGTACACTGGGGTACTGAGGGAAGGTAGCAACTGGACCCCACACTGTTCATTGGTTGGCAGCACTGTTATTAAAACCCAGAGCCCTCCAGGTTTGCTTGATCATCCTAGACCTCTGTGGTCACATAGAGATGTTCCCAAGAGACCAACAGAGGCTGGGGCAGCTGCAGCCAGGTATTCCATTCTGTGACTGCTATTGGAAGTTGATGATGTTTGGCATGCTCTGTGGACAGCCATAGATGTGACTCAGTGTGGAGCTGTGGCTAGGTTGTGTCTTGGATTTGGACACTAGTCCCTAGAGAGGATCCTGGCTGAGTGAGTTTGACTGTTTCAGGTGATGAAGGACAGAGCTGAGGGCAGGTTGCCATGGGTGACAGGAAGGATACAAGAAAGAAAGGTGGGCAGGGATGTTGGGGACGATGGCCAGAACTGAGTCCAGCCTTAGCATTCACAGTGGATGGGACAGGTCATGGCTCTGTCCACTGACTGCCTTTGTCAGGGGTAGGTCTGCTCTCTGCCTTGGTCTCTACTCTCCCTGTGCTAGGGACCCTTCTTTGCCCGCTGTGGCCTTGGTTAGTCCATCACTGCCAAAACCAAGGTCTTGCTACCAGCCTTCTCCAGGTCCTGCTGCTCCATGGCTTCTGTTTCCATCCTTTGTTGGTGTCCTTTCGACTTCCTGAGTGCACTCAGTTGGAATCCTGTCTATGTTCATTCTATTTAAGGTCCTTGGAAATAAAGACAGCTTGAAGATAGGCATGGCATGGGGACAAACCCACTCTTGAGCTGGTCGGCAGGGGTTGGTTATGGGTAATATCTGATACAAGCAGGGTAAGACCAAAGAGTCAAGGTGGGATGGCACAGGGTGGTGTCTGGAGCTGCGCATACCTTTGTTCAGGAAGGCTGTGTGCAGGACAGCTGCTCAGGAGTGTGCCTCTCCTCTCACCGAAGTAAAGCCGAGTCCACCCTCTACAGGAACCTAGAAGGACCAGGATATACAACGTATTTCCAGGAATATGTGCACAAGAGGATGAGATGTGAATTTCTTTTCTCTGGAATGGACATACGTGTAAGTGAAGGTGACTGAACAGGACACAGGCCCCTAGCTGGTGGAGTAATGGCTGAGTGAGAAGGAGAGAGATGGTGCCAAAGTTGAGAGCTGACTCTGCTTAAACCCTTCCAGCCTGAAGTTGGTACAGTCTCTCTTCCTAGACCCTGCAGCTGACTGGCCTCAAGGGGTGGTCTGCACACAGGCTTTGTACAGGCTTTGGATAATGACTGAACAAGGTCACAACAAAAAAGTATGGGGGGGGGTTCAACATGAAGCCACCTAGCAAAACATATCTACACAGACAAGGGGTATTTGCATATAATGCATGCAGTTGGGGCCCTGTTTCCATATGATGGGAATCCCATTCTTGCCAATTCCAAGTGCTAGTAAAGCATGTTATCTATAACCATCTAAAGACACTCCTAGAGGCATCACCTGCGGAGTTAATTAGGTTATATGCTCAGAAGTCACAGGCTGGTGACTACAGCTTCACAGGGCAATTGCGGTTGGTTACTGAAGGGCAGCTTTCCTAGCCCAAGAGGCTAGGGGTTGAAGACACGGTCTGTAACCCCCTCCCGCT